TCATACAAGCATAATCCCTGCTAAAATTTGTGAAAACCTTTTTGAAAAAGCAATATTCTAAAGTTAAAATAGACTTTGAAAATTCTGATACCTTCTGTATGATTAATTTCATCACTGAGAATATAAAAATTTTTATGAATAAATTAGCATTTTATAATGAAAATCTCAAAGTTTTCAAGAACTATAATAAAGTGTTTAAAATAAGATAGTACATAGAGTTGCAGGAAAAAATGGTCAATAGAATGATATAGAACTTATAAATATATCTCTTCTATTGTGTAAAATAGTTCAATATTTCAATAAGTAGTTTGTTAAATAATCTACCACAAATAGAAACGTAAAATATATTATTTTTTCTCTATTTTAACATTAAGGGGTAATTATGAAGATGTATACATAGAGAGAGAAAAGTTGAAAAAAGAAATTGCACGAAGGTTTATGAAAATGGGATTGTATCAGTCAGGTTTAAGCCACAATATTACATCATTTTTTATCACATGATTATGTTATTAATATATATAAAATGCAAATGGATTATTTTATCTTTACAAGCTTCATTTTATTACTTGAATATTTGCTTGAAAAATCATACTTTTAAAATTATTATAGCAAATATAATTACAGTGTTAAAAGATCCAGAAAAGTTAGAAAGCTTGTATTTCAAAATACAAAGCATTCTTAAATCACATAATCTCATTAAGATGTCTAAAATAATTTTACAGACAATGAATACTAAACTTATTCTTACTGTCTAGAAGTATTATTTGAGAATGATAAAGCCTTCTTTACCTTATATCTTAATCCTATTTATGATATGATTTGTACTTGGTAAAAAAAGATTTAATCATTTTTGTCAAGATTATAAGAACATATGAGGTCTTTGCAATAGAAAGGGAGGAAACTCCAAAAAAATTAAAATTTTAGTTTATAAGCCAAAAATGTTTTAAATACTATAATTTGTTCAGATTTATTATCAATTCATTTTTTATTTTTTTTTGAGTTTCCTTCCTTTCTATTGCAAAGGCCTCATATGTTATCAATATCCAGTTTATTATACCTTATGAAAATGATAAAATGGCACCTTTTAAGATAGAATACAGTAAAACTATTAACAATTTGACACTTAAATTATGTGAATTTAGAAATGACTGTAGTGATAAAAGATATGGTAAGTTTCTCTTTACAGATCTAATTTATTTGAAATATCAGTATTTCTATGGTATTCCTCATGGGTTTTATATAAACCTTTATAGTATGATTAGAAATATATATATTATTTTTGAATATATGTATAGTATGTATACTTAAAAAGTTATATATGTATAGTTTTTTCATAATAAATAGTTCATATTTGTATAATTTTTAATACTATACATATATAAAAAAATTCATACTATACTAACCTGCTGTACAGGTTTACTATATTCTCATTTTTCACAGATTTATAGATTCTTTAACTAATATAAATAATTCTTTAGACTGTAATCATTCAGACGTTATTTGTAAAGATACTTCAAAAACTTGAAATGAACGTGATATTGTTTACAACTTCTACATTTTTAATGATCTTGTGATATAGGAATGAGAAAAATATTATATAATAATGTGACATGAATCTATTTATGACCTATTATATATTTCACGCCTAATAATGATGAGAAAAATAATTTCAACCACTTTGACAATACAATATTGATCAAAAATCAATCATTTTAGCAGGATTTATTAGAAGAATGAAAATGTTTGGGATTTACTCAATTTTACTCAATTATGACATATGGAAAACTAAGCAAATAAGATCAAAGAATAAATATATACAAAACTGCCATGGTCATGCTTATATTAACCTTAATGATCTAGATTAGAAGAATATTAAATATAAGGTTTTAAAAATTTTATGTCATTAGTCATTCAAATTTTAAAATCATCATGTAATGCTTAAAATTTTCAGAGCAAAACAATCATCTTAAAACTGTTTTGAATTAGAACGTTTTCGATTACAAATAGTTAAATCACAATTGATGGTAGAATGTTCAACTGAACTTATGGAAAAGATGAATGATGCCATTACAACTCTTTCTGATACAAATACAAAGTTAAACAGTATTAGCAAATAACCTACCAAAAAGAAAATTCCACGAAATTGCTATGAATACATAATTAGAAAACAAAGGTAACAAACTAAATCAGGAATAAGTTTCATTTTATAAAGAGACTAAATTTCCTGAATATAGTGTTGGCATTGAACCTTGTCCAATTCCCAATAATGGACTATTGGACTTTGGATTTAATAGAGATGTCCAGTCTATGAAGTGACCTTAAAATGACCTAATCATGTGATGATTTTATTATGAAATCTATCACATGATCATATACATTTGCCAACACTGAAGTTGAATGATATTGCTACAACTCTTTCCGATACAAACAGAAAGATTAATGATGTTGTTGATACAAATAGAAAACTTGCTACAACTTTTTTCTGATACAAATAGCAAAACCATCTCAACTTATTGATTTGTTGATGCTAAAAGAAAAAGCATAAATATTTCTCCGTATCGTTAGTGTATAGCATTTTAGTTGAAATAACAGAGTGCATGTTGTGATGGTTATT